GCTGGCTAGTGTGACCATATTTGAGGGCTCCGATGGTGGGCCGACACCCCAGCGGTTGGAGGCCCGAACTCTGAACTGATAGTGACCTCCGGGGATCAGAGAGTCGATCTGCACACATTCCTCCCTGCTGCTGGCCACCTGCTGCCACAGGAACGAGTCTGTGAGTGAAAGAGGAGGAAAGGTCAGTCTGTTTGAACATCACTACAGAACAATTCCAGTGGCTAATACACAGACCTTCCTGTCTGTACTCCACAGTATAGCTGCTGACAGTACAGTGGGCAGATGAAGCCGGGGGCAGCCAGTGGATCATCACCGCTGTGCTGCTGGCCTCCTGAGCCACAGGTCGCACTGGGGCTGCTGGGATACCTGCAAGCCGAGACAAAAATAATCAACCCCGAATCAACAGTAACCGTCTCAAATGGTCCTCAGTGTTAATCAAAGTGCGACACCTTGGACTTTGATGGAGGCAGAGGAGGAGGCAGTGCCGTGGTCATTAACAGCAACACAGGTGTAGATTCCTGTATCCTGGGGCATCAGATTACAGACTTTCAACAAGATGTCACCTGTATCCCTGCACAGTGCGTAGGAGTATGGAGAGGGGAGGAAAGATCAAAAGGCTGCACTCATAGAGGCTACTACTTATAGTGGTGTGAAGACGTGTTTGCCCCCTTCCTGATTTCCTGTGTGAAAAAATAATTGGCATCCGATCACATCTGGCGAAAAAAGTAACACAGCATTTCAGAAAAGGAACATCCTACCAACAGTAAACCATGGTAGTGGTAGTGGTAGTGTCATTGTCTGTGGCTGTTTTGCTGCTGTCTGAAGGAGAACATGTGACCTCTAGGTGAAGTGCCCTTGAGTTCTGCAGCAGGACTGTGAACCAAAACAGCAAGTGCACCTCTGAATGGCTTAAGAAAAACAAAATGAAGACTTTGGAGTGGCCTAGCCAAAGTCCTGATCTGAATCTGACTGAGGAGCTGTGGCATGAGGCTGTTCGTGCTTGAAAACCCTCCGATGTGGCTCAATTGCAATTATTCTACAAGCATGAGTGGGCCAAACTTCCTCCAACACGATGCAAAAGGCTCACTGCCAAACGTTCAGTTGATTGTAGTTGTTGCTGCTTAGGGTGGACCAACCAGTTACTAGGTTTTTCGCACGATCTGATATCCTCGTGTTGGTGTTGTTCCCAGATC